TCAACTCCCAGAATTCCTCAGCCAGCTTTGCTGGCTGAGGAATTCTGGGAGTTGAAGTCCACAAGTCTTAAAGTTGCCAAGGTTGGACACCCCTGCTGTAGAGAAATAATAATCTTCAGGCTTCATTTAGAAATAAGCAAAAATAAAGCACAATCAGTTTCGTTTTCTTTCACAATGGGTCCAAGAAGACTGGAATGGAACATCTACAGGTAGCCCTCAAGTTATGATCACAATTGAGCTCAACACTTACGTTGTTAAGTAAAAAAATTTGTTAAGTGAGTTTTGCCCCATTTTATGACTTTTCTTGGCACATTTGTTAAGTGAATCATTGCGGTTATTAAATTAATAACACAGTTGTTAAGTGAATCTGGCTTTCCCATGGACTTCGCTCATCAGAAGGTCACAAAACTAGATCCCATGACCCTGGAACACAGCAACAGTCATAAATATGAAGCAGTTGTCAAGCATCCAAATGTAAATCACATGACCATGGGGATGCTGTAAGTGTGGAAAATGGTTATCAGTCACTTTTTTTCAGTGCTGTTGTAACTTCATACGGTAAACTAAATGAACTGTTGTAAGTCAAGGACAACCAGTACTCACCTGGAAGTGCTGAAGAGTTCCCAATCATGCATGAGTCAGTACTGCCCCTTTTAGGCCTTCCAGGACATCACAAGTTTAAGCAAAGAAAAATGATGGCAAAGTTGGCCCCCTTTCCTCCTGCCGTAATGAGAATTTTGAACACCTGAAAAAGACTACTGTGGTGGTGCAAATATTAGTTTTAGCATGTACAAATAATGGCTGCTCTCATATAAAATATCAAATTAAAATTTCTAGCTGCTTAAATAAACTTGGTATTTATATCTTCTCTTCTCTATCACATTCTGCTTAGTAGCTTGCTTCATGATAGGGTAGGCTGTTTGCCTATCTAGCAATAGCTCTCTGATGTCTGGGTCTCTTTTTCTTTCCAATGCGTAGGTAGTGCATCCTTATGCAAAGCATAGGGTTGTGGTTACCAGACTAAACTATCCCTTCTTGGTTCAGATGTATCAAGCAAGCATTGATTTGCTCTGTACCATAATGAGACAGAATTTCTGTGCAACAGGTCTCCTTGTAAGTGCCCAGCTATGATTTGGCATTATGTCTGCAGAGCGCTGGTGTTTATGAATAGGGACTATTTCATTCCCACCCTTAAAAAGGGGTCATGAGACAGCTAGCTTGAAAAACCATCTTCACCATGTAATATTCTGTCCTCTGTGCTATACCTAGAGCAGGAGCGTCAAACTCAATTTCATTGACGGCTACATAAGGTTGTTTGACCTCGGGGGGGGGGGGGGGGTGGGGGTGGGTGTGGCCAGGGTGGGTGTGAGTTTGACACCTCTGACCTAGAGGGATGTGCTTTTGATTTGCTCTGTTTGAATGGTTTGGGAAACAGACCTTTTCTATGATTGCCTCAATCCTGTGATATTCTATTCCTTTGGGGGTTAAGATGGCTGCTACCCATTTTATTTAGAAAATGAAGGAAGATCATCTTCTTTTGTTGGGGTCTGGAAAGATATATTGATATTACAGTACTTACAGCTATTTGTAAACACTGGTACTTATATTTCTTGGAATTGCATATGATGCATTATTATTATTTTTATTATTTATGAAGTAGATAAATGGCTATGCAGTAAATGACCTTCTCCCTGGGAATCTAACTTTCTATAGGCACTAAAAAAAACCAGCATTTTGAATATGAATAAATTTTGAAAGGCTTAGGAAAGGAAGGGCAGATTATGAAAAAAAAAATCTGTAGACATAATTATGTCACAGCTCTTGGATTATTAGGAGCCCAGATCCAACTGATCTTTAATTCTCCACGCTTGCTGTCATCCTTCCGTGTCTTGTTCTACATTTCCTTCATTTACAATTGAGATTGAGAATTGGTTGCATTTCATCTGTTGGCATGGTAAAGAAGAGAAGATTGGGTAAAAGGACAGAAGGAGAAAAAGGCAGAAAAAAAATCAGCTCTTGGTGTTTGGCTTGCTAAATCAATCACACAACCTTTTAGAACCCTGATGGTGAACCTATGGCATGTGTGCCACAGATGGCACACAGAGCCATTTGTGCTGGCACCCGAGCTGCAGGCAAACTTAAGTCACTGCACATGCACACGCCTCACAGTTGATTTTCGGCCTCCCAGAGGCTTCAGGAAGGCTTCTGCAGGCTTTTCAGGCCAAAAACTAGGCCCATTTCATCACTTCCTGTTTTTCCAGAAACACCGTAAGTGATGAAATGGGCCTAGTTTTCGTCCTGAAAAGCCTGCAGAAGCCTGCAGAAGCCTTCCTGAAGCCTCTGGGAGGCCAAAAAAGGCCTCAAACAGGCCGAAAATCAACTGTGAGGAGTAGCGGCGGGAGTGGGTGGGGATTGTGTGAGGATGCGTAGGGGGCATGGGGGGGTGCGCATTCCCTTCTGGGTGCTGGCACGCAAACGTGAGCATGCAAGCGCGCACACAATTTTTGGCACAGGAGCCCAAAAAGGTTAGCCACCACTGTTTTAGAACATTGTAAGCCAAGTGATAGTGGGGCCATCCCTACTGTTAAAAGTAAAGGTTTCTCTGTCCAGTTGTGTCCAACTCTAGGGCATGGTGTTCATTTCTGTTTCTTGGCCAAGAAAGTCAACCTTGTACAAAGACTTTTTCTGCGGTCATGTGCCAGTATGGCTATATGCCAAAGATGCACCTTCCTACCAACGTGCTACCTATTTATTTACTCACATTTGCATGCTTTCAAACTGCTAAGTGGGCAGGAGCTGGGGCAGGAACGAGAGCTCATCCCATTGCATGGCACTTGGGTCTCAAGCCCGGCGCATCAGCTTTCCAACTAACAAAGTCAGCGTCTTTAACTGCTGAGCCATCGTGCCTCCTGCCCTATCATTAGAAAGAATAAAATAAAGGCCAAATACCTCCAACCTTAGACCTCACTGCACTAATATTGTGACTGGGAGCCACTGATACTCACATCCCCCTGAATATTTCTATTCCTGTTAATGGTAAGTTAGCATGGCTACCGTAGTTGTGCTAGGGAAGAGGGCAGTTGCATGTGCTGTCTCATTGCTTCAGAAGCTAGCAGTTCTTTCCAGTGGATTTGGAAGTAGGGTGTAGCATCTTAAATATTTGAGGGCCATCTGTAACCTCTGGGTTGCCTTTATGTAGATCACCAAATACACACAAAAAAGCAGGCCTGTTCTTTTTTTTCACAATTTTGAGACTTGGGTTTGGCTTGTAGATAAATGTACTGTTTTTTAAAAAGATCATATTTCCATTTGAAATAAAAGGGTCTTTGTAATTATAGTTAATTTGCTTCTCTCTGACCCTGAAGAATGGCATTCTGTATCTGAGTAGACCTTTGGATTTTACAGCATTTCTTTTCTTGTTAAAATGAATTATAGGCAATGATAGAAAGTTTCAAGGGGAGCTCTGCAATTTTCAGGTTAAGAATTCTCTGAATGTTATATTGTATTTCACTTATCCACATTCCCCAGGTTACACTGAATTGTGCAGCCTAAGAGAAAAAAGTCACCTCCCCTTATATCAAAATAGTGGTTGTCGGAATAATTAAGACTGGCTGCCTTTAATTTCAAATGGAAATATTGTATAAATAATAAATGAATCAATATTGTCATTACTGATGATGTTTGGATAGTGCTTCTAAACAATACAAACTGGGGAAGATTGTAGTTAATGGCACATTCTGGGCATAGCTGGTCTTCAGCAGTTCAGCCCAGAGAGAAATTGCAAAATTTATGCCTTTTATTTATTCTGTTTTGCTGCTTAGTACCTTCCGTTGAATGGAGAATTCATTATGGCCCCCGCTGCTGGGTTTGCAGCTTTCTACGGCAATTACAGTCCAGGATGTGAGACAGGTATTGTGCTCAGCCAACCATTAATTAGTCATGCAAAATAAGCACTATGAGATTATTCCTCAGTTGTCTCTCTGTTCATTTGAGTCATTTTTCCAGTTATAATAAACTTTCCCCTGGAGCCCTCCAAAGTTTTTGGAATTATCATCAGTGCTTTCTTTTCCATAGTGGGAGGAAGATGAAGGAAATTATCAACATTGGCCATGTATATGTTTTGAGACCTTTTCTGGTGGAGGTGTTATGGATAAGAGGTTTGTTCTTGCTACCACTATATTTGCTGTAGGACAACTCACATAGGGATACACCAGCTTGTTGAATTTCTTCATTTCTGCTGGTGATATTGAAATCTGAATTTTTAAGCTCCAAGGCTTTTCTTTAAAAAAATATATTGGTTTTGATTTGGTGCCAAGTCTTGGAATCTTTTTGGACTGTTGAATAATAAAGTTAATAGCCTTTGTGGATTCTTGCACCCAGAGCTTGCACATTAGGTTGTGTACATCTAACCAAATTGATTGCAGTGGATTTAAGCATACCATAACCCTGTTACATGCAACATAGTTCTGGCTGTTTCTTCAGTGATTTTAGGTAGGTCTCACAACTTAAAATTGACAAGGCTGAGAAACACTGAGGAAGGAACATCTCATACAACAAAGTTACAAATTAGTTGCAAGGGTGCTTACATCATGCTTTGCACAAGCAAACTTAGAAAAGTATATTTTACTTTTGAGTAGGAAGGCATGGTGATTGAATATGGAATTCAACTAATTCTAATCAATTAGGAATTTGTGGCGAGATGTGGGGCATAGAAAAAGATACCACAGAGAAATATTCCCTTGTGTTGAGTCAATGGGGAAGCCAATTGCCCGCAATCTATAAACTGTGGTTGATATTCCTCTGAAGGAAGATGATGTAGAAGCTTTATCTGTAAAAGAAAATCCTATGTCCCATGCAGTTCCGCAATATTAAGTGCCATAACAAGGACTTTGGGTTCTTGTGAGTATACTGGTTTATGCATAGATGCATGACAGCTTCATAAATATTAAATAGAAAGTTGTTAATGAATTAAATATGAATTTCAGTAATGCACTGTGTATAATATCCCTCATGCACTATAATTCCCTAGCAGAGGAATTATGATACGCAGTTATAGTTGGCATGTTTGTAAAAAAAAAAAAGTGATGGCTGTGGAAAAAATGGTTAATACATTACTAATAAAATTGTCATGGTTACTGTCATCCTAGCTTCCCACAGGCCTATTCTCATATCATATTTATGGGAAATTCTCTCTGGCAGCACCATTTAAGTTCTAGGTAGTGTTCTATTAAACCAAATATTGCCATAATACAGTATGGTGACTCTAATTTTTTGTCACCAGCAGGGGTTGCTTGCTCAAAAAAAAAATGCAGTAATCCAATAACTGCATCCTGTTCAAAGCTATAGCTCAATTTTTACCAATCTGGTATCCAGGTTAGATATTTTCCATCCAGAAAGTTTGGGCAATGGCCAAGAAAGCCAAAATGCTGGGAAATATGCTTTTCATAAAGTGTTTGAAGGCAGGTTGGGCAAGGATGGTATCCTTATCGCAACTCATTCTTCCACTCCTATCTTCCGTTGTATTTACTTTTTCAATTTGTTTTATATATAAACAAGTGATTATATTGGGGGGGGGGGAGGTTTTAGATATATTTGATATCATGTTAGATATAAACATGATATATATTTAGATATCTATCATATATAAATATGATCCCTATCAGATATAAATATGATAGCGATCATATTTGTATGATAACAAAATAATAATGATAAATAAATAAGCATGTTGACTGTTTTAGGTTGGCAAACTCTCCAACCAGATTTGTAAAAATAAAAGAAATTAAAAATATTATCCTTAAACAGTGGTATCTGCCAGGGCAGCAGCCAAAATTGGAAGATACTAGATGTATCAGATGTAGCAAGCCCTTCCGTTTAGAATGATGACATGCCCAACACCTTGTTGATTTTGACACACACACACACACACACACCCCTATAGACACCACTGTCTCTCTCCATCTGTATGACAGAACCCATATATCACAAGAAAAATATTAGTTCTGCATAACATGGAGAGGTTCAATTTTTGGTAAAGACAACTTTCTCAGAATCCTCATTCCTCTTGCCTTACACATCATAAATTGCAAATACTCCATTTAGTGTACAGGAGAAGTTTTTCTTCTTTTTTAAAGAAGAAAAATAAATGGATGGTTGGAAATAGAACAGACAAAGGATAATAAATATTATGATTCAAATTGAGAGGAGATAAATAAAATAAAATTGAGAAAATTTAAAAGTGAGGAGAAGTTATATAGAAAATTGAAAATGTTAATAAGATATGAAATGGTATGTAAAATGAATATGAATTTGAATTTGTGTCTGTGCCAAGAGTTATAATCCGGGACTACGCAACTTTCAGAAAAGAGATTTTTTATGTTTTTATGTTTTGTGTTTTTGTGTATCTATGTTTTGTATGTCTTTAAAAATTAATAAAATTTGGTTTAAAAAAATAAAAAAAAATAAATTGCTCCAGGAAAGTCAAAGGGAGTTTGGGTGGTTCTCCTGCTTATTTTACTTCTTATTAATTTAGCAGTTGCAACTGGTGGCAGAAAGGAAGAAGTAATGGCCATGCTTGAGGGAGACTGCCAGACTGCTGCTGCTTCTCAGATAGCCTAAGCAATGATTCCTGTTATGCAGTAACTGAACAATTACAAATACATTCATTCTGAAAAATAAGATTTTCACTATAGCTAAAACACAACCTCTAATACATCCAGTTGCACATCTATAGGATGCCTCTTCATGAAAAAATAGGGTAAATTCAGAGAGATTGGATACATTGGATTTCAAGATTTTTCCTCAGTTTATTATTAAGCTAAATAACAATAGATGTTACAATAGATTTCGATGGGAGGAAAAAAGTCAGTGGAAATTTTGGAATGCATTAGAAAATGTGCTATATGTTATAGTTATAATTTATAAGAGGTCACCTCATCTAGATGATATCTACTGCTCTCTCAACTCCCAGAATTCCAACCTGCCATGACCAATGCTTGGTTTTAAATTTTAAAAATTGTATAATCGACATATCTGAAAAGTATCAAATTTCACAGGACAGAACCAAATTATTAGAAGTTTATTCAGAGTTTTGCAGCGCAAATTCAGTGCCAGAAAAGTAAACACAGATGGCTGAGGCTTCATTTAACTTCTTTATAAACACAAGTAAATTTTTTACAATACCAGTTGTAGATTTCTTCAACATGGAGCTAACTCAAACAGAAACATGTTGCAAGTTCAGAGCTTCAGCAGCAACTCAGGAGCTCAGAAACAGACATCAGTTTCACTTTAGTTCAGCAGGCAAGCATTATACACAGCAGAGGAGAGAAGCAGTTTCATTTTCAACAGACAGACTCAGAGCTCAACATAGCTGCAGAGCTTAATACAGAGCCATGCCTTGGCTACTTCTAGTTTCAGTTTCCAGCCTAGCCTACTTCTAGTTTCAGTTTCCAAAACAGTCCTCATTGGCTGACTTAGTTGCTATGCCTATTCATTGGATGACCTTGTTACCATGCTCTATTCCAGTTCATGCATATACTCTGACAAAGTTCAGGTTAACAATAAACTTTGCATTTGAAATCTAATATATACTGAGATACAGTACATAATGTCAATATCATTAGATTGATTCCTAGATTACTTTCAATTATTCTTCATTGATGAAGAAAAATCTTATGAATCAAATTTCCACGCAGACTGGACCATATATTCTACATGTTCTTAGACTTTAAAAAATAAACTCAGAGTTTGTTCCGCAGATTTATGTGAAATTTTAAAAAAACCAGTGAAGGTAAATGGACTTCATCTATGGCTCTTACTTTCTGTCATTTTCCTTATTAGCTTCAGAAATCACATTTAAAAGTACAGACAATTATGAATGGCATGATCCTACATTATGGCATGCTGCAACCTCTTTGGAAAACTTAGATCTGGACAAATACATTTTCCTTGTGGATGAAGAACGAGTTCCCTGCCAGTATGACGATGTTATTTTTCAGCCTGAAACCTCCTTCCGAGTGAACATCACCTCTGAGCAAATGATACAGTTTAAGAGCATTTCAATCATGGGGCAGGTAAAATAGAAGCTGAGATTTCATCACTTTACCTTGTGTCTCCTTTTTTTTCCCTCAGAAAAGCTGACAACTAGTAATGTCAACTTTTTCCAAATTTATATTGAATTGCCGTGGCAAATAAACTGAATTACTTTCAAATATTTAGCCCCGCTTTATTAACTCAGTCAATTCAACACATAAACATTCCCTTAGAACAAGAACATTCATTCCAGATGAGAAAAACACCAGGTGTATGAATGTGTGCAGTAAAAGAAGAAGAAGAAGAAGGGCTACCGTATCTAAAGGATCGGATCAGACCACCGCACAACAGCACATTGCCCTGCAAGGCATTCGTAATTTATATTTCAAAATATAAATATAAAGATATTGGCCAAGTGAGCAGGCTTAGGAAGAAAGATCACCGCATCTGTTATAAAATGGCTAAAATGTTTACAGAATCTAAAGAGACTCATTTAAAAAGTAACAGTAAAAGATGTATTGACACAGGGCAGATCTGCACTTTATGCTTGGCCCATTGCCAGGATATGCCGCTCACTACTTCCTAAGTGTAAGAATGGATGATGAGCTAGCAAATGCACTGCTCACGTGTGATTTCTACTTTTGATTCAAAAGCTGCTCTTTCCAACCACACCGCCTTAAGCTCTTCAGTGGTGATAGGAAACATGGAAAGTTACTTCCAGTCTGAAGCATTAATATAATCCCCAACTTTATACCTTCCATCATTCTATGGTTCTGCTGGGTGGCTATTTTGGAATTGATTTCCTATACATCCAGAAGGCACCAAGCTGCTTTAATAGCAGTCAATAGTCTGTCTAGAGTAACACAACCCTGTGTATTTCCTAAGTTAGTGTGTGTGTGTGTGAGAGAGAGAGAGAGAGTGAGAGACAGAGAGAGAAAGGGAGGGAGAGAGAGAGATTTGTGGAATCCATACCAAACACGGATGGTGAGATCAGTGAAAACTAGCAAACTGAATTCCTACAATATTGACATCAGTAGTACACAAGTTTTAGTATAATGCAAACACAATTTAGGGAAACCAAATCACAGCTCTCGCACATGTGACATATATATGATTGGTTGTCCTACTCACTGAATTTCCAGGGGTGGGATTCAATTTTTTTAACAACTGGTTCTGTGGGCGTGGCTTGGTTGGTGGGCATGGCTTGGTGGTCATGTGACTGGCTGGGCGTGGCCAATTCAATATCACTCACATCGAGGCACGTATCTCCTCGCCTGGTCTCTCATGACTGTGGGGATGCTGCAACAGTCGTAAGTGTGAAAAATGGTCATATGTCACTTTTTTCAGTGCCATTGTAACTTTGAATGGTCACTCCACACAAGCAAAGGACCAGCAAAGGAGGGAAAAAAACTCCAGAGAAGTTCCTGAGACAGGAAGTCTAGTCCTGCCAAGAATGTAATAAGGGTTAACGGAGAGGCAGTTTCTGTAAGCAACGCCAGAATGTTTCCTTTCTGCCTTCCTTACAGGATTAGGCCAGTAATTTCTTCTAACAACCGGTTCTCCGAACTGCTTAGAATGTCAACAACCGGTTCTAGCGAATAGGTGTGAACCTGTAGAATCCCATCCCTGCTGCATTCACTTCCACTCCCCCAAACATTTGTCCTTGGTTTGCAATGCAGTTAATATTTTGAGGGGAGGGTGAGGGTCTAGGTTTAGTTAAACTACTTCGATGGTGATTTGCTATAAAGGAATTGATTTGCTGATTTTGTGTTGTCCTTCCTCCCATGAATTGGAATTAGAACTTCACCAGAGACAGTACCCTGGCAGAATACATGCAGAGCTCTACTGCAAAACTTCAGTTCCATGGACAAGGGACACTCCGGTTGTCACATACCAGATGTCCAGACAAATCTGGCTGTGAATGTGGAAACTCAGCAGTAAGTTTTTGTGTTCAGATTTGATATCAGGATGGGGAACTTTGCTTTCTGCCCAAGTCACACCCTCTAAGTCGGGGGTCTCCAACCTTGGCAACTTTAAGCCTGGCGGACTTCAACTCCCCGAATTCCCTAGCCAGCGTTGAAGTCTACCAGACTTAAAGTTACCAAGGTTGGAGACCCCTGCCCTAGGAAATGTGTTAGTGCATGACACTGCAGGTCAGTGAAGGCTAAAGTGCTTTTCTTTCTCTTCCCTCCAAAGAAATATTTCTTTCTCTCCCCTCCAAAGAAATAGTGTATTTCTGTTCCTATGAGTTAGAAGGAATCTCTGACAGAGGGCTTTTGAAATGAAGCCATGGGCAACATTAGAGCCATAGATAGGCTCTCTGCATTCTAGCTTCCGCTATTAAGAGGCTACTACTAATGAAAGGATTGAAGGAATGGAGTGACTGGTTAAAAACCTTCTGAGCATAATGATATATTACTGAAGTAACTCAGTGGGTTGATCGAGTCATAAATATCCATTCAGGCAGAAATGATTGTTGATCCTGTAAACTAAGAAAGAAAACTGGACATTCCTGACTATAGAAGCGTAGTAGCCTAAACCCTGAACCCCTGATCAGGTATTCCTCCTTAGGCCTTTCTACAGAGACAACAGTGTGCCAACAATATGTGTGTATGGGGGAAATATTTTAGAACATACTAAAATTACAATAATGTATTGCAGTATTTCTGCTTCAAAGTATTGATCTCTGTTATGGATTAGGCCCATCTGTCAGACCTGCCTCAGCTTGAACCTCTAAGTAAGAATGATCATTAACTCTATTTATTGAGAAAGGTATAGCTTACTACAGGGGTATCAAACCACGATACGTTATCGTCACACGATGTATCACAACATCCAGCCTGCGGGCCATGAGTTTGACACCCCTGATTTATTAGAAGTCAAGTGAATTACAGCAAGAACTGAAAATTACATGCCAAAATCCCCAAGTCTAACTTTTTCCTCCTTTAGTTGCTTCCCATCAATGTCCAATCTAATTCAAAAAAGATGTTTTTAGAATGGTCACTTCAGGCCTAGGTTTGGTATGCAGTTGCCTTTCCGTTCCCAGCTGATTGTCCTTGAAGCCCATCTCGGGGAGATACAGTGAAGTTTTATTTTCCTGGAAGCATCTCCCCTCTCCCATCCAGCCCACCTAGAGTTCACGGCAGCTGGTGCTGAGTGGTTGCGAACCACAAGCGTGAGGTGGCTGCTGACACCATCATTTAACTCATTTCCTATAGTTTCTGTATGTGGCTCCATCTCTGAAAGGGACGAGGGATGAAGGAGTGGGGGAGGTTAACTTGGTCCCAAAATCTAGTTTTCACCCTTTACAAATGGGTTGACAGTGACAATGTAGTAACAATTTTTCTTGTGGAACCTCTTGACAGGCTATGTTGGAATTATCAGAAGTCAATTATGTAGTTTTTTTTCAATTATTTTTTTAATTAAAGACCCATGAAAGAATCTGTGCCACCTTGCTCCAGAAGTCCAGGAATCAATGTCCAATGATTACATGCAAAGACGCAATAAAGCCTACTGGTCATTGCTGTGAAATATGTGGTGAGTGGTTGTTGTTGCAACTGTATTATGACATTATGTTCTGTCATTATGTGACAGAAGAGCAAATTCCTCTCATCCCCTGTACATAACACATGGGCTGATGATCACCCTATTCCCTCACTCTGCCCACTCCCCTTATTGGGAAACTCCATGGTAGAACTTTGCATGGTAGAACTTTGCATGAGGCTTTTAGTGCAGCTTGGCTCCGAGTAAATGGACGGCTATCATTTATTAGGAAGCTAGGTTTCATGTAGGGCAGGACAGCTGTTCCATAAGAGGTACTACATAAGAGGTGCCCTACATAAGAGGTACTACAGACAAAATCAGTAAGATACTACACAGGCATCACATCAAGACTGCCTTCAAAACAGGCAGAAAAATAGCAGCCATCCTAAGAAACCCCAAAGATAAAATTGACCTGGAAAACCAAGGCATATATGAAGTCCCCTGTGCATCATGCCCTGCCACATGCCTTGGACAGACCAATAGAAGAATAAGTACCAGCCTGGATGAACACAAAAATGCAGTAAAAAAGCTGGAACACACTTCCTCACTAGTCCAACACATGAAAGCAACAGGTCATAGCATCAACTTCAATGGCACCCAAACCCTAGCCACTATAGAAAACCCCAGCCACAGAATTATCAGAGAAGCCATAGAGATTGAAAAAAGACCTGAAAACATAAATAGAAGAGATTATTTCACCAGACTGTCAATTATTTGGAAGCCTGCACTCACAAACAAAAAAATATTCACACCACTAGCCAGGCAAACACCTGGGCACAAACAGATCCCCCCTGATACCTCCAGCTCAAACACACCCCAACCAGGCACCCAGATGAAACCTAGCTTCCTAATAAATGATAGCCGTCCATTTACTCGGAGCTAAGCTACATTAAAAGCCTCCAATACAGGAACACAATGTTGCCAGCCAATCAAGACAAAAAAAGCCACAAAACAGACAGAAGATATTAGAAATACCAATTAAGCAGAACACAGCAAATTCCAAGACCAATAAACACAGACCAAGACTCCCAACCAATCAGGATGAAGAAAAAACCATTCTGGCACAGCAGTAGGCTAGCCCCAAATTTAAAACTGAAACGGCTGTGAAAGTCTGACTCACAGACGAACTCAATAC